ACCCAGGCTCTAAATCACGCAGTTGGTGCTATTAGGTAGGACGTTTCTAGATTTAGTACTCCAATAGCTGCACGTCGTTGCAGCCCCTCGACAAAAGTGAAATATCGCTAGTTACCGCCGCTATTTCTGGATGTCGCAGACATCCAAACTTAGATTCATAAAGTTTTAACCTCTCAGTCAGTGGTGCGGTCGGAATAAATTTTAGGCAGATGCGTCATTTTCTCATCAAGTCCCTCAATTCAATGAAAAGGTCGGACAGCGTCCGACATTGAAAAACATTAGCGGATACCCTTGTAAAGGTTTCTGCTCCGACAACGCATTTCAAGAACCTATTACAATTGAGGAGCTAAAGGCAAACCTCAAAGAGTTTTTAACATTGTTGTCGTCTTCCTCACATATCAAGGATGAGCGATACTAGAGGAACCTAGAGGAGCTCTAGGCGACCCTCCAAGATTACTTAGCAGTCTCACTACTCTCCTTACTCAACAAGCGACATTAAAGGAACTTACTACAGTAGAGGAGTTAATCCTGCAAGACATAAACGAGGAGAAAATACCAAGCATTGACTCCTTTCCATATGAGTTATGGGAGCAATGTTGGGAGCTAATCAAAGACGATTTCCTACTTTACGTCTCGGTTACTCAAAGAAAAAGCTAGCGCGGGGGATTTCTTAGGCTTAGTCATGTGGTCACTTCGCTATTATACAAAAAAAGGAGACAAAAAAAAAAAGAACTATAGGTTCATCAACCTCTTGCCAATCTCAAACAATATTATGTCAAAGGATCTCACAAACAAACTATTTTTTTCATTAACTTCATCGTTCCCTCAGACCAATCGGGCTCCATTTCACAATGTATTATGCAAGATAATGTCTTGATGTCAACGAAACAATCAAATATGCTATACAACAAAATTGTGAGATTGCAGTCTTGTTCATAGACTTCGAAAAGGTTTACAAGCATGTTGATTGGGTGTTCACGGAGATACGTCTCCATAAAATAAACTTTGGCCCCAATTCAAGGCATGGGTAAAGACACTTCACAAAACATTTGCAACATTAATAAATATTATGTTTCATGATCATCTCACAGTGTCCTTCGCCCTTCATAAATTGGTGAGACACGGAAATCCAATAGCACCTTACTATCCATGCTCGTCATGACTGCAATATCTACAAACCTAAGATTAAAGGAATCGATGTACTATAACTTCCAATTCACTTAATCCCTATTACATCCCTGTTCATTGATGACCTGGCACCATTCGTAAGCCACGAGTACATATGGGCCTATTGTATCGGACATACAATTTTGTTGTACACCGAGTTTTGCCAAGCCTAAAGAAGACAAAAACTAGTAGGCAGAATTCGTCCGTTGACATGGTTTTACCACAATAATTACAAATAAGGGAGAGTAAACATCTTTGTTCTAACGTTGATCTGTATACAAACGGGTTTGGGCTTGGTAAACACTGAAACATTATTTTTCATTAGGGATCATAATAAACGATAAGCATCTTAGACATTTTTTGCTAGTTAACCGTAGTGATAATGTCCTTTACTGACAGGAAGTGTGCAGCGTGTCTCTAACTGCTATAGCGTGCAGCGTGCCTCTAGCTGCCATGGTCTAGAGCCAGGGCTATCGGGCTATTTTATCAGTTTGGCCTGTGGGACCAGGCCGTGGCCTGACGCCACAAATCGTGTGCTCATTCAGTCTGGTCCAGTCACGGTCCTGCCCGGTATCATTGTCAGTACCAATCCAATCCAATCCATTCAAGTCAGTCTGTTGAAGGTATCAACAGAAAAATTATCGTCGAATTCCAATAAATTTTCATTTTCATGTTTAACTTATTTAGGTCATAAGCGTTGTGACCGACTCTTGAACGCGGGTCTTCAAACGTGTTCAACTATTTCTCAACATTGTCAACTTTTTCTCAACGAGTCCAACATGGTTTCCTACAAGGCTCCAACTTTTTCCCAACAAGTTTCCAACATGGTTGTTGAACCGTATTTTGATACATGATTGGTTGTCGAGTGTGTGTATGCATGGCGGTCCTGTACTGCGGGCCGGTCCAACCGAATTGCGTGTTTTTGTGGTGTTATTTGGCCCCTGGTTCCCAACCTCGTTATTATGTCGGATGAGTTGCGCATGCTGTTGCAGCGCATGTCCACACTGTTTGTGCAGTTTTGTTGAGTGCATGTACGACCACAGTGTCTAACAGTAAGTGGTCATGTTAGTGCGTTTATGTTCAATATTGTTGATCGGTCTTCTTGTGGTCGTCGACGAGTATGTCAGTCTGACCAGACTGTCGTCTTTCTCTCTCTCTCTCTCTCTCTCTCTCTATATATATATATATATATATATATATATATATATGCGTGTGTGTGTGTGTGTGTCTGCACATTTGGGTCCTGGCTTTGTGCGTGTTCGTCCACTCCACAGCCTTTGGCGGTTGTCACCACATACATGAAAGGCAAATACTATGATGCTATATTTTCTCATGTTCAGGAAGAAAATACATTCTCATTCTCCACATTTGGTGACGAAATACTTCGCCCAGCGATGGGTACTCAAAAAACTCATGGCAAATTGACAGATTGTAATCGGTGCAGGACCTTTGTGGGCGGTTTTCATAATTCCTCAATCAAGGCCTTCGAAATGGTGTGACATGGTGCCACTGACTCAGCACCGTGCCGCACAGGTAGAGCAATCAAGACCAAACTCGTGCTAGTGGGGCATCACTACCGGATTCGAAAACATTCATTGCCCGTTTACAAAAAAAAAAAAAAAAAAAAAAAAGACGATGGCCGTGAACTATTATCATCAGACTAACCAACCCACGTAAATTCAATCATGTGTCTAATCTAACACCGGGTGGTCTTTCCAGGCCAGAGTGGCCTTATTGCCTTCAGGGAACCCCCAATGGGAGCACCTGCCAGCGGATGGCCAGTATCAGAGGGACTGAGCATCATCTGATTGGTCAGTCGCTGCATTAAAGCACCAGTACACCACACATCGGCCCGCGGGTGTCAGCATGACACCCACATCACTTCAGAGGCTGCTGATTGTTTTTTTCAACGACGCCCCTGGCCGCACGGCGCCTTCGAGTTTTGTTTGTGGTGACAAAAGCTTTCTGTAAGGCTGGGGTCGTGTACTAGCGGTTTAACGTCGAGTGTCTACGACTGATGTATAGGTCAAGTAGTGGTGATTAAAAAAAAGAAAAAAATTCCGCCTTACACTACCTACCTACCACTACTCCTACTAAGAGCATTACAGGGAACCCCGTAGCAGCCAACCTGTGTTCACAATGCCTCAAACAAGGGAACATGTGGGGGTTGCGCCTGACCCTCAGGTGGGCGACACCGGCCAGGGGATAGCCAGTGGCATCAGGGACCATACCAAGGGACCAATCCCTGCGCCTCCCCTCCGGTCCGCTCCCCTACAAGCATCAACAGTCTCTGCTCAATGCCGATCGGGGGATCCAGTGGTCTATCTCTAGGTGGGGGGCGCCAAGCATGCCCAGGAAGGTACATGAGGCCAATGGGGATTGAACCCTACCTCCTAAATGTGACTTGCGACTGAGCTAGGTGGGGGGAAAAAAAAAAAAAAAAAAAAAAAACGCTCATCTTTTTTTATTGGGAATTTTTTCAAATGACCTTGAAGTTTGTGTTTGTTTGCAATTTGCCCCTCCGACGACCGACTTACCCTAATATGCCCCAGGGCCTCTGAACTTTCGTGCAGGCCCCTGTCAGTGAGGTCACAACTTTTCGGAATGCCCCTACCGGACCGGCGGTCCTGTTTCCCGTGCTGCCTGTCCTATTTGCCCTTCTGTGGGGGATGCATCTTCCTAAGATGCCCTCCACCAGGGAGGCACTAAGAATTTGAATTCAAACACCATACTTTTCCAGGCTGCCATGCAAAACAAAGGGCTGCACTCCATGTCGTGTCCGCTGCTGCAATCCACTGTGTAGTGCATTCTTCAGCTACTGCGACCCACTGCCGCCTTGGACGTCCGCGGCGTTGGCGAAGGTCAGTGTTTCTCCCCTTGTTCCACGTTTCTCTCTCTCTCTCTCTCTCTCTCTCTCTCTCTCTCTCTCTCTCTCTCTCTCTCTCTCTCTTACACACACACACACACACACACAGAAAAAAACAAAGAAAAAAAAAGGGTGTGTCAGTGTATATTTCTATGGTCGAGCGGTAGATTCATTCGGATTTGCTCATCCTATAGATGGAAGTACCATGAGGGCAGCCGTGAGGTGGAGGACGATGCAGAAGAGGCGGAGGACGAGGCGGAAGAATGTCGAGGAGGAGGAGGAGGAGGAGGAGGAGGACCAAGACGAGAAGGAGGAAAAGGAGGAGAGAGAGGACGACGACGCAGAAAAGGCGGAGGGCGAGGAAAGGAGGGAGGAGGCGGATAGGGAGGAGGAGCAGAAATGGGGGGAAGGGCGCCAAGTCAGGGGAGTGGGAGGCCGACTGCGTCGCGTCGACCCTCCTCACCCGCCGCCAACTTCATCGCAACAGCCCCCCACACCTTGTCTTTTCTGTTTTTTTGTTTTTTTCATTCTTCATTTAAAAAATAAATAAATGATTGATTGATTACAAATCGAATCGATCGAATAAATCAACCAATCAATCAATCAATCAATCAATCAATCAATCAATCAATCAATCAATCAATCAATCGACGGAAAAAAAAAAAAAAAGACAAAAAGTTATCCAATCGAATCGATTGATTCATTGGATCTTGATTCAAAATCAAGATCCAATCGAATCAATGGATTCGATTGGATAACCTTTTGTTTTGTTTTTTTTTCGTCGATTGATTGATTGATTGATTGATTGAATCGATTGATTCCATTGTTCTTGATTTGGAAATCAAGATCCAATAGAATCGATTGGATAATCAGATCATAATCCGATAATGTTTTTTTTTTTTAATTTAGGGGAAAAAAAAAGGTATAGGGGCGAAAGCCTAATCGATTCCGGTACGAGGAGGAGGAGGAGGAGGAACAGGAGGAGGAGGAGGAGGAGGAGGAATGATGACGAGGAGAAGGAGGAAGAGGAGGAGGAGGAGGAGGGAGGATGACGAGGAGGATGAAGATGTAGAAGACGACGACAAGGAGGAGGAGGAGGAGGAGGAGGAGGGGGAAGAAGAAGATGTAGAAGAGGAGGAGGAGGAGGACGACGCAGAAGAGGAGGATGAGAAGGAGGAGAAGAGAGAGGAGGACGACGCAGAAGATGCGAAGGACGAGGAGGAAGGATGACGAGGAGGAGGAGGAGGAGGAGGAGGAGGAGGAGGAGGAGGAGGAGGAGGAGGAGGAGGAGGAGGAGGAGGAGGAGGAGGAGGACCAAGACGAGGAGGAGGAGAAGGAGGAGAGAGAGGAGGACGACGCAGAAAAGGTAGAGGATGAGGAGAGGAGGAGGGAGAAGGCGGACAGGGAGGAGGGCTCCACCCAATGACAAAAAATGACGGGAAACATCCTGGCGAACAAATTAACTACCAATATTTTTCTGGAATATAAACTCGGACTTTTGTCATATGTGATCATGACCCCTCCATATGTTCAGTGATTGAAGGAAGGCTCCACCCAATGAGATAATTGTACAACAACAAGCAAAAGACTGAAAAGTTTTTATCCAGTGGGCCTATGGTTAACCCCACCCTCTTTTGGAGTTGGCCATACCCCAACGGATTGAAGAGATTTTGACGGGAAACTTTCTTTGCACGAGCATGCCTAATGTTAAGGAGAAGGGGAACAAAAATCTCCTCATTTTTTTGGTAATACATGTAAAATACTTACCGTGGGGATCACAAGTATTGCACGACAGGATTTGGGTCACTCAACTGCCACACAAACTCTGTTTTATCCTATATCGTTGCTAATGGGACCGTGCTCCTGATAATCATCAACATTTACCCCACGTGGCAGCCTAACAACCTGGTGTACTCTTCCTCATGACAACACAACATGTCACGTGGGAGATTCTAGCTACTACGATCCTAAGTGTTGGTCTTAAAAAAAAAAAAAAAAAAAAGGTGGAGCAACATTCATCAACCGTCCTGTATGGCTCTTTCCATCACCAGCTAAGACAGTCTGTCGATCGACATGTCTTCCTCATCACTGCAATGCCCTTGGTTCAGAAGAAAAAAGAAAAAAAGAAAAAAAAAAGGAAGAAATGAAAGTAAAGCAAAACGTGAACCCCCCTCCATCTTGCCACTTCATTCGGTCGCATTTCTCCACCAACAGAAAAAATGCAGCTTCGGAACATGCAGAATTTTTGTATGATCTATACTACATTCAGCTGTTGAAAATCAGGTTCCCTACACAATTTATGAGGGTATCATGTTGAACGCATGGGGTCCCAATGAAATCTTCCTTTTGAATACACTGGTCATACGTGACAATATCATTCCAGTGATTGACCAGCAGTTTGTAATCAGTTGAAGTTATGTTGAAAATGTGTATAAAAACACCCTAATCAGTTGAAGTGATGTTGAAAAATTGTATAAAAACAACCTCTCCTGTTTAAAAATTATTGAAAGTCTGTTTACAAACAGTTTACCAACACTGTTCAAAAATTAAAAAAAAAAAATTATTCGTCCGCTACGAATAGTCATCACTCTTTATTACAACAAAACTGGCAAAATATTGTACTGAGAAGACTCCGTTTTGGTTGCTGCTCACTTTCGAAAATTTAGCGGTAAAAAAAGGAATTACATTGTATTTTGTAGTTTACGTATGTTATGGCATGTGTGGGTTTCCCCGTGTCCAAGGGACAGGGATGATATGGGGTGATGTCGTCGCCGAGTGTGTGCAAACATACTTTAAACAAAGAGATTGTCAAAGCAACACATGACTCTCACTAATTCTGATAATAATGTTCCGCAACTACATAACTTTAACTATTTTTGTCTTCAATGCTACGTTGGTCGGCAGGTGCGTATTCATTTTCAATATGACTGCAATATTTTGTATGATATTACACGCACCTGCCGACTACGACGTGTCAAAGGAGTATACATTGCGAACGAACATGCAGTGTCCGTAGAATATAAGATGATTACTCAGAATCCTTCGTACACTGTTTCACATTCTCTTAGTAATAAAATTATACTTAAATCAAGAAATTAAGGTGCGATTGTTGTCCGCTGCATTTAATAAAAGGTTTTTGTCTTTTGCAATACATTGGAATTCACAGACACCCTTTACCACAAAGAACAAGGAAGCGGTTGTGAGAGGGTCATATGCAGTGTCACATGTTACTTGTACGTGTTCAACGTGCAGTGCCATATGTTGAAAAGAGTTGCAGACATCATATTCTCTCAATTTGTGTCATCTTTTTAAAGTTTATGTGTATCCAATATTTTTGAGTATATGTGTATATGAGTGTGTATGTGTGTGTGTGTGTGTGTGTGTGTGTGTATTTGTTGGAAAGGGGCAAACCACGGAGAGAGAGAGAGAGAGAGAGAGAGAGAGAGAGAGAGAGAGAGAGAGAGAGAGAGAGAGAGAGAGAGAG